AATATTACAATAGATATAGAATAATACAATATCCTGCGAATGGTTTAACCTCGGCAGCGAATGCACGGCAACGGAGACGTTGTTACGTAAAACGAAGTGCCCTATGCGACGCGACGCGGTAACTCGCTTGCGATCGGGCCTGGCGATGTGACGACCTAATACGACACAGTTAACGTAATTGCCAACTGCAGACGACCTTCACTAATCCCCATTTTGCAGCGAATTGAAAAACCAGAAATTGTCTTAAACTACTCAATAACAAAGGTGTGACAGTTCTTATTAGTGTTGCTGTAGTGTAGTATTCCTCCGGCCGAAAAACGTTTAAAGGGAAAATATTAAGCGGTAACGCAGCCCACCAAGTTTTTAAAACAATTAACTATCTTAACTACTCTTGCTTTAAGAAGAATTCTGTTCTGAATTCTGATTAAGTTCTACCCTTGTAGGGACATGGAGAAGTATCGATACTTTGTAGCATCGATAACTTTAATTTTTGATATCGATATTTTCATCTTTTTCACTACGTATCTAAAAAATCACATGTTTTTAAATGTTCTAGGTTAAGCGGAAATACCATTATAATAATCTCATTTACAAGAGATATATATTAATAAAAACCAATTCTAATAATTTATTACAAATGTGTGTGAAAAATCGCTATTTCTTACATTTAAACTAACATACTCATATTGAGTTCCAAAAACAAAAGGGAATAATTAGATATATGATATGTGTTACAATGTATCAAACTTTGTCGTGTCCCACCGCCGCGGATCTTCCCTGTTTGCGGCCTATTTCCTAAACGCATGCGCGATTTCACTTAAACTGGGAGATTATGTTAACATTGGGAGGTGGAGCTACTATCATACTAACGTTGGCAATAATAGTATAATCAATACCTTGTCCCTTGTGTTCTCACAGTACGATTAAGTTAACTTAATCATGTCGCAATGAATTAGCAAGTCAATAATTATTTGTTAAACAAACTGTGATAGAGCCCCACAACAGACATGCGTAAAGTAGAAATATTTCAAAATTCTATCGGTTGAGTGTGCATGCAGGTTACATTTTGATTATTTTTTATTAGGAATGGTTAGGTCAAGGAACATTATACTAAGCTATCAATAAAAACATTCGTATGTCGTTCAATTTTTGAATAGATGGGAACATTAAATGTTTACAGGCGCGTTGAAAACAGGGTATGTGGATGTGGAAATAAAACGAGCTTGTCTGCATAGAGGTTTATTGGAGCTGCAGCAGTAGTAGCAGCAGCAGCAGTAG